GCAGTCGATGTGGAGCCGCAGAAGTTGCCTCAACCTTCCCGGAGCTTGGCAGCACATTAGGGATTCGGGTTTAGGGTTTAGGGTTTAGGGTTTAGGGTTTAGGGTTTAGGGTTTGGGGTTTGGGGTTTGGGGTTTGGGGTTTGGGGTTTGGGGTTTGGGGTTTAGGGTTTAGGTTTAGGGTTTCGGGTTTCGGGTTGAACCCGAACGTTACATGATCAGAGGTAAAACATGTTTTTGTAACCAGCGAGGTGGGTGATTCAATAGTAGCAAAGCCGCAAACCAGGCAAGGGTCTGTAACGATGTCACTGCTGCATCTTTCTGCTGGATCGCATTGATGTTCTTGCGGTGGGCTTCTGCAAATTCTGCATTTGCTTGCTCCATTGTTGCGCACCACCGCTTGCGCAGTTCCTCATGCTCGGTCTGCGCAACCTTGAGATCTTCAAATCCTTTCAGCGTGTCGTCAGACATGTGCCCAACTATTCTTTTCATCTTCTGAAGCCCGATCAGAACCTCATCTTGCTTGGCCAGAAAAGTGTCCAGCTTCTCGCCAAAGAACTCCTTGAAGGTGTCTTTGCGTCGCGCTGAGCATTGCTACCCCCGGCAGACTCATGTGATGGGCGGGTCCCACCTTTGGTTGCCCCACCCTTTAGGGGTTTAGGGTTTAGGGTTTAGGGTTTAGGGTTTAGGGTTTAGGGTTTAGGGTTTGCCTGGAGCCCCACTCTTGGCTGGAATCCCGTCCGGGGCGGGAGCGCGAACATCCTGTCGGGCTTATTTCCCGCGTCCCTGTTAAGGTTTAGGGTTTAGGGTTTAGGGTTTAGGGTTTAGGGTTTAGGGTTTAGGGTTTAGGGTTTAGGGTTTAGGGTTTAGGGTTTAGGGTTTAGGGTTTAGGGTTTAGGGTTTAGGGTGTAGGGTTAGGGTTTAGGGTTTAGGGTTTAGGGTTTAGGGTTTAGGGTTTAGGGTTTAGGGTTTAGGGTTTAGGGTTTAGGGTTTAGGGTTTAGGTTTTAGGGTTTAGGGTTTAGGGTTTAGGGTTTAGGGTTTAGGGTTTAGGGTTTAGGGTTTAGGGTTTAGGGTTTAGGGTTTAGGGTTTAGGGTTTAGGGTTACTCAGGACTTTTAGGGCTTTGGGTTGATCGGTTAAGGCTTCGGGTTTAGGGCACAGAATGACCCCTGACCTTGCTTCGCTCCAACCCTAAACCCTAAACCCTAAACCCTAAACCCTAAACCCTAAACTGGGTATCAGCTCCGCCCCTAAACCCTAAACACGTCATCATCTTGGGCAACAGCCCCCAACTTAACGGACAGGAGGGTCTATTCCACTTGACTCAGAGCTATATTTGAAAACAGGGTTTAGGGTTTAGGGTTTAGGGTTTAGGGTTTAGGGTTTAGGGTTTAGGGTTTAGGGTTTAGGGTTTAGGGTTTAGGGTTTAGGGTTTAGGGTTTAGGGTTTAGGGTCTGTGGGGAAGATGCCCACTTGAAGTTTTCCTAAGCCCTCTCAACTCCAGAGGCCGAAACCTCACCCGCATTTAGGAATTCGTTTCGTTTTGTGTTTTTTTGGGGGGGGGTTAAGAAGAGGCCCTGGGTTTAGGGTTTAGGGTTCAGGTTTAGGGGTTTGGGTTTAGGGTTTAGGGTTTAGGGTTTAGGGTCTAGGGTTTAGGGTTTAGGGTTTAGGGCTTAGGGCTTAGGGCTTAGGGTTTGATCTCAACACTGCTCCATCCCTGAACCTAGATCGTTAAAGCAACTACACCCCCGACATCCCCCAAATCCCAAAGCCCCACAGACCTAACACAACAACGAAGGTGGCCAAATTCGGGGTGCTGTACATTTGGTGAACCCCAAAACCCCAAAAACAACCCTAAACCCTAAACCCTAAACCCTAAACCCTAAAACCCCCTAAACCCCAACAACACCAAAAAGCCCAACCATCCATCGGGCGGCAGCCGCCAGAAAAGTCTGGCCCACAGCTGGCGTCCCAGAGCTTGCGAGGCTGGCGTCCGCCCTGGGTTCAGGGGTTTTAGGGGTTTAGGGGTTTAGGGGTTTAGGGTGTATATAGGGTTGTTTAGGGTTTAGGGTTTTAGGGTTTAGGGTTTTAGGGTTTTAGGGTTTTAGGGTTTTAGGGTTTTAGGGTTTTAGGGTTTTAGGGTTTTGGGTTTTAGGGTTTTAGGGTTTTATGGTTTTAGGGTTTTAGGGTTTTAGGGTTTTAGGGTTTTAGGGTTTTAGGGTTTTAGGGTTTTAGGGTTTTAGGGTTTTAGGGTTTTAGGGTTTTAGGGTTTTAGGGTTTTAGGGTTTTAGGGTTTTAGGGTTTTAGGGTTGTAGGGTTTTAGGGTTTTAGGGTTTTAGGGTTTTAGGGTTTTAGGGTTTTAGGGTTTTAGGGTTTTAGGGTTTTAGGGTTTTCGGGTTTTAGGGTTTTAGGGTTTTAGGGTTTTAGGGTTTTAGGGTTTTAGGGTTTTAGGGTTTTAGGGTTTTTGGGGTTTTAGGGGTTTGGCGTTTTAGGGTTTAGGGGCTTGGGGGTTTAGGGTTTTAGGGATTTAGGGTTTTGGGATTTGGGGCTTTCAGGGCTGCAGGACTTTGGGGCTTTAGGGGCTTTAGGGGTTTTAGGGGTTTTAGGGCTTTAGGTTTGGGGGGTTCGGGTATTCAGGGGTTCTGGCTTAGGGTTTAGGATCAGGATTCACTTAGGGCCGAAATGGGCTTGCCGTATTCGGGTTGAGGGCTTTGCGAGCTTGAATTGCGGTGTTTGGCGGCTTCCGGTTCCCGGGCTGGTGGGACGAATAGCCCTAAACCCTAAACCCTAAACCCCAAACCCCAAACCCCCCTCCTCCTCGCCCAAAATCCCCTGAACCAGCAACCCTCAGATTCTCAACTTAGAAAGATTTTGGCCGCCCTGGGTTTAGGGTTTCGGGTTTCGGGTTTAGGGGCTTCGGGGGCTTAGGGGCATGAGAGTTCAGAGGTTGTGGTTCTTGGAGTTGGCAGTTCAGACAAACCCAAGCTATGGAGGCGACGGCAGTGCCGTACAAGCTCATCTTCAGAACGTGCAGCAGGCTCAAGCTTTCGCAACATGCGCTTCCTGCGATCCTGGCCTAAACCCTGAACCGCTAAAGCCCCAGAACCTCTCAAAGCCTTAAAAACCTAAGCCCTAAACCCAAAACCCTAAACCCTAAGCCCTAAACCCTAAACCCTAAACCCTAAACCAAAACCCTAGACCCTAAACCCTAAACCCTGCTCTCCATCGAAGCGTCCCGAGGACGGCGAGGCAGTCTTTGCGCGGGGGCCGCATTGCCTTCGGAAAGACCCAGGTTCAGGATTTAGGTTTGAAGGCTTAGGGTTTAGGGATTGGGGTTCAGGATTTCAAGCTTAGGGGGCTTTCTCCTGCCTAGCATTCATGCCTGCGCCCAGGCCATACCGGTTCAAGAACTTAGGGCTCCAAACCCTAAACCCTAAACCCTAAATCCTAAACCCTGAACCCGAAACCTTAGGGTCCAGGGTCTCGGGTTAAGGATTTATCGGGGGGGGGGGGCTTCGCGTGAGGGGGCGAGTCGGTGCTTTGGGGGCGGGAACCTCTTCCTATAGGGTTTTGGGTTTAGGGTTTAGGGTTTAGGGTTTAGGGTTTAGGGTTTAGGGTTTAGGGCTTAGGTTTTTTAGGCTTGGAGGTTCTAGGGTTGGGGGTGTGGGCTTTGTGATTCGGGGTTTTCGGGCTAAGGGATTTTAGGGTTTAGGGTTTAGGGTTCAGGGTTCAGGGATTCAGGACTAGGAACTTCAGGTTGTCTCCGAGGCTCCGACTAAACCCTAATCCGACTAAACCCTAAACCCTAAACCCTAAACCCTAAACCCCAAACCCTAAACCCTAAACCCTAACCCCTAAACTCCTCTCAGTCCCAGACGATGCGATGGGGGCTGCCACCACACATCGCTGAAGGCCACAGGCTTTCTGGGTGCCTTTTGGGGGCGTCTGTGAAGCATAACCCTAAACCCTAAACCCTAAACCCTAAACCCTAAACCCTAAACCCTAAACCCTAAACCCTGTCGCAGCTGCCCCCAGGGCCTGAAAATGAGGGGGGGGGGAGGTGGGGGGGGGTGGTCACAGCTTGAGCCCGGCCGCGACTCGGAACATTCAGAACACGGCAGAAAAGGAAGAGAACACAAGAGTCGTTTAGGGTTTAGGGTTTAGGGTTTAGGGTTTAGGGTTTAGGGTTTAGGGTTTAGGGTTTAGGGTTTAGGGTTTAGGGTTTAGGGTTTAGGGTTCAGGGTTCAGGGTTGAAGGATGCTTGATTACAATAATGCAGATATGTTATCTTGTGATGATGTAAACAGTATCATAATACCTCACTCTTGAAGATCGGGTGTAGATTGAAGCGTGCGGTCAAACTTCCCATGCCCTCCGACCTCAGCGTTTCTTGGATGTATCCCTGAAAAGGGCGGAGTTGAGGCATTGCTTGGAGGTTCATGGTACTTCTTAGCCAACTATAACTGGACTTCGAGTACTTATAACCACCTTAGGGGCACTTAAGGGGCTTATAAGTGGGCGAAAAATCCAGTTCTAATTACTCAATAAGTACCGTGAACCTCCAAGTAGGGTCGAGGTCCATCACAGCCCCCAGGCCCCCACTCCCCGCCGCCCCACCGCCGCAAAGGCATCATACTAACAGCCCCAAAACCCAAAACCTACAATCCTGGTTTAGGGTTTAGGGTTTAGGGTTTAGGGTTTAGGGTTTAGGGTTTAGGGTTTAGGGTTTCTGACCCCGCCGAGCCCTTCTAAGGGTAGCTGCATGGTCCCGTCAGATGGGGGCCCTTAAAGGGTACCTCTTACATACCCCTCGTATGCCCTACAAAACCTCAGGGCCCATACTTCGAGCCTTTGAAGAAGGTAGGGAACCAAATGGAGAATAAGGGACCCCTAATATAATAAGTACCCCGAATATCGTAAACCCCCATACTAAAGGACCATGCAACTACCCTTAGAACCTACCATCCCAAACCTCGATTCGACAAAAGCGTGACAGCAGCCACCCCATTGTGCCGCGCCGCTGCCGCAATTTGCGCGGTGGTGGCTGCGAGATTGGCGCGATCCCCTAAACCCTAAACCCTGAACCCTAAACCGTAAACCCTAAACCCTAAACCCGAAGCCCGAAACCCCCCCAAGGTAGGCATGAACTAGGAGCCCGCGTGGAGCGAGGTTACTTTGAAGGTTCATAAGCAACAGCCTAGTTATAAGTAGCCTCCTCCCTCGTGAGTAGGGTATGATGTTCATGAATCCTCCAGGCCGTTGGGCTTTCTGACTTTTCTTGCAGGCTTGAGGACTTCCCTAAACCCTAAACCCCAAACCCTAAACCTTAAAGCTCAAACCCTAAGCCCTAACCCTAAACCCCAAACCCGGCTACCTGGCTTTTGAGTGGTTCTGGGAAGGTTTGGATGGAGGTGGGGTGACAGACTTCCAAGTACAGCACCACGTGGGATCCTCTGCCTACAGAAGTTAGGAGACATAGTAAACAGAATTGCAATTATAGCAAGAATAGAAACAGCAAGAATAACAGTAACAACAACCATCATAATAGCAGCAGAAAGAAGATCATGGTAGCAGTCACAATCATCTTGTTCATACAGGCCAGAAAGCGACTAATTTGGCAGGTTTAGGGTTTAGGGTTTAGGGTTTTTAGGGTTTAGGGTTTAGGGTTTAGGGTTTAGAGTTTAGGGGTTAGGGGTTAGGGTTTAGGGTTTAGAGTTTAGGGGTAGCTACGTGGTCCCTTCATGTGGTCCCTTGCCTGCTTTAAAGGTTGTGAAGTATAGGCCCTTGGGTTGGATAGAGTGTATACGGGGTATATAAGGGTTCCCATTCAAGGGCCCATACTAAGGAACCATGTACCTACTCTTAGGTACTGGGAGATGCAAACGTGACCCAACAATGCAAGCAGCTCTCATAGGGTCAGAAACAAACATACCAAGCAACAATGTGCAATGAAGTTGTTCAACAAGCGATGAGCGCCCATGTTCATCGGAAAACCCCACGAAAGTTGTTCAACTGCGATGAGTGCCTATGTTCATCGGGACCCAATTTCGCAAAATCAAACTATACACCAAAAAGAGTAGTAGAAGTTGTCGCAGTCGTAGTAATAGTAATAGTAATAGTGATAGTTATAGTAATCGAAATAGAAATAGGAATAGAAGAAGTAATAGTAATATTAATATTAATAGTAATACTAATACTAATAGTAATGGTAGTAGTAGTAGTAGTAGTAGTAGTAGTAGTAGTAGTAGTAGTAGTAGTAGTAGTAGTAGTAGTAGCAGTAGCAGTAGCAGTAGCAGTAGCAGTAGCAGTAGTAGCCGTCTCACAGTTTTTTCTAAGAAAAACAACAATGATTCATCACCCCCCCCCCCCCTGCCACCCCTCCTACCACACAAGCGGGAGCCTCGGCGCATCACCCCCGCGGCCTGCGCAAGCGAAACGAGCTTGCAGCTCTTGGGTTGTCAAGGTGTGGCTCAAGGATGCTTAGGGCCTCGAGGGCGTGCTGTAGGATCTTTGGGGTGTCAAAGCAAGGTTCAGGCTTGTTGGGGCCTGTTGGTCCATGTCGGCTTTCTGGGGTCAATGTATCTAGGAGTTCTGGGGCTTCAGGGTCTCGGGGCTTCAGGGGCATTGTAGGGATTCTGGGACTGGGGGGGTTGGGGGGGAGGGGGGGTTCTCCCCGTTGTATTAAATGTACCTCTCATTATAACAACACTTTCCGGCAAATTCTGCCGAAACCGACCCCGCCTTTTAAACCCTATTCCGAAATAGGGGGTGGTTTGAGGGCTCCCAAAGGCCTCAAACCAACCAACATCCTGAAGCTCCCTTCCCTCCCTTCCCTCCCAGCCCTCCCCCCTCCCAGTCATTTCGCAGCACTTAGAGCCTGGCTCTCCACAGCCTACCTGACTACTCATATGATCTAATGACAGATCTTGCCTGCCTGTCTGTCTTGCTCTACTACGCTCTCGGGGTTTAAGTCGTTACTTACACCCTCCCAACCCTGAAGCCTAGACCCTAAACCCTTTGGACCCCAAACATGACCCTTTTTTTGGATAAAAACATCCCCCGAATATTTAAAAAAAAACACGTTTCGAGTTTCTTTGGGGGGGGGGGGGGGCATTCAATAATAGGGGGATACGATGAGGCTTAAGGGCTTAAGGCTTCGGGCTTTTGGGTCGAAGGCGAAGATCACCCCCGAAGCACCTAGTCAAGAAACCCTAAATCCTTAGAGCCTAGAAACTCCCAGAAACCTCCTTAGACACCCTCAGAGATCCTTGAGGGCCCGTTAGAAACTCGCACCTAACCCTAAACCCTAAACCCTAAACCCTAAACCCTAAACCCTAAACCCCTAAACCCTTTGAAAATACTGGCGGGGGAAGCCTTCCCAGACTCCGTGCGGGGCTTCGCGGGCGCTTTGGGCAGTGCGGGTGCAAGTGGCACCTCAGGAGGGTCTAGGGTTTAGGGGAAGTTTAGGGTTTAGGGTGTAGGGTTTAGGTAGGGTTTAGGGTTTAGGGTTTAGGGTTTGGGGTTTTGGGTTTGGGGCTTGGGGCTTGGGGTTTTGGGGTTTTGGGGTTTGTGGTTTGGGGTTTGGGGTTTTGGGTTTCCCTTGTCAGTGTCTAAGCGGTTTAGGGATGAGGGTTTAGCTAGGCTGCACTTAGGAGGGTTGCTAAAAATAAAACTTTTAGCTGCCTTATTAAGAAACCCAACAAACCCAAAAAGGCTAAAGATGTAAAGTTACAGTAAAGCACCACAAAGTTAGAGTTTCATTTACAGGTTTACAGGGTTGAGGGTCTTAGGTTGAGGGTTGAGGGTTTAAGGGCTTGAGGTTTGGGGGGTTGAAAGGCTGCAGGGCTTAGGGTTTGAGGGCTTTAGGGCCGCGCAGGAAAGTAGTTCAGGGGTTTTTCAGGATACAAGGCTAAGAGCTTGGGGTGTTTTAGGTCTCAGGGTGGATGAGAGTTGGGGTTTGAGGGCTTGGGGGTTTTGGGCACCCAGTGCCTACCGTGAAGCCAGTGGGCGCTGTTGGTGGTGGAGGATGAATCGCAAGCAATCTTCGATTCAATTGAGGGTGCATCTGCTGCAACCGTAAACCCTAAACCCAAAAACTCCTAAGGCCCTTACCTCCGAAACTTCTCAACCCTAAACCCGAAACCTCGAAACCCCTAAACTCCTAAACTCCTGAACTCCCAAACTCCTTAACCCCAAACTCCCAAACCTTAACCCAAAATCCTAAACCCTTAACCCTCAACGGCGCAGGCCTGAACCCTAAACCCTAAACCCCAAACCCTAAACCCTAAACCCTAAACCCTAAACCCTAAACCCTAAACCCTAAACCCTAAACCCTAAACCCTAAACCCTAGAACCTAAACCCCGCTCTGAGAGAAGGGCGCTCTTCGTAGCCACTCGCGACGCCTGGATTCGCACTGTGGAGCCTTTAGGCTTCGGGGTGAAGGCTGGGTTCCTCTGGGTATTTAGGGCTTAGGGTTTAGGGTTTAGGGTTTAGGGTGTAGGGTGTAGGGTGTAGGGTTTAGGGTTTAGGGTTTAGGGTTGGAGGGCCTACGCTATTCCAAGGGCTCATGGGTCGGGCCCTCCCGCGCGCTACTCCGAGCCGCCCCACATGCCTCGGGGGCTGCTGGCGGGGTCTTCGACGAAAGCGCCTTCGCCACGTTGGCCCCTGCGGTTTAGGGTTCAGGTTTTAGGGTTTGGGGTTTAGAGTTTTGGGTTTAGGTTTTAGGGTTTAGGGCTTAAGGTTGCGAGGCTCCACCGCCACCTCAGTCACGATTCTCCAGGCCCTAGAATATCCAGGCCGGAAACCCTAAACCCGAAGCCCTTGCCGTGTAGGGGTGTAGGGGTGTAGGGGTGTAGGGGTTGAGGGGGTGTAGGGGGTGTAAGGGTGTAGGGGTGTAGGGGTGTAAGGGTTGAGGGGTTGAGGGGTGTAGGGGTGTAGGGGTGTAGGGGTGTAGGGGTCTAGGGGTTGAGGGGTTGAGGGGTTGAGGGGTTGAGGGGTTGAGGGGTTGAGGGGTTGAGGGGTTGAGGAGTTGAGACAACCTTAAACCCTACACCCCAAACCCCGAAACCCTAAACTCCTTAAACCCCCAAACAGCCCTAATGAAACCCTAAGCCCCAAACCCTAAACCCGGAACCCTAAACCGAAACCCTAAAGGGTTGAGGGGTTGAGGGGGTTGAGGGGTTGAGGGTTTAAGGGTCAGCTTTTGTAGGGATTGAGGGGTTGAGGGGTTGAGGGGTTGAGGGGGTTGAGAGGGTTGAGGGGTTGAGGGGTTGAGGGGAGGGTTTAGGGTTTAGGGTTTAGGGTTTAGGGTTTAGGGTTTAGGGTTTAGGGTTTAGGGTTTAAGGTTTAGGGGTCAGCTTTTGGGTGTCCATCCTGCCTGCGGTTGCGGCCACAGCCGCGGCTGCGACGGTGTCGCTCCGCGGGGCCTGGAAACCCTGAAGGTTGGTGATTCAGGGTTTAGGGCTTAGGGTGTGGGGTGTAGGGTTGAGGGTTGAGGGTTGAGGGTTTAGGGTTTAGGGTTTAGGGTTTAGGGTTGAGGGTTTAGGGTTTAGGGTTTAGGGTTTAGGGTTTAGGGTTTAGGGTTTAGGGCAGGGTTTCTGTTTAGGGTAAAGGCTTTTTAGAGCTTGGGGTCTTCCATAAGAAGCCACAGATGACGACAATTCATAGATGTGTATATAAGTATAAATGCATTCTATAGCCACCAGCCTCCCAAAAACAAAAACCTCGACGAGTAAAGAGGCATGGGGGTGGAAGACCATAGACCCTAAACCCTAAACCCTAAACCCTAAACCCTAAACCCTAAACCGTTTAGGGCTTCCTGCTCTCAGCAGCCTGGGCATCTCAACAGCCGACACCCCACAGTGTGTGCCCCGCTGCCTCTGCCTCATCCTCGCTGTCGCTATAGGCACCAAGGAGGCTGCCTATGGCCTGGCCGATGTTGTTTCTTTGCCCTGAACCCTGAACCCTGAACTCTAAATTCTGAACCCTAAAACGTGAACCCGAAACCCTAAACCCTAAACCCTGAACCCTGAGCGCTAAACCCTACACCCTAAACCCTACCCCCTAACCGCTAAACCGTGTAGACCCTGAAGACCCAAACCCTGTAGGCCCAAAACCCTAAACCCCTGCAGGCCGTAAAGCCGGTAAACCCGAAAACCTGCAGACCCGAAACTTGGGATGCTCCCGCTTATGCTAGCAATCCTTCATAGGGAAGATAGTACCCCCTATTAGAATCCCAAACGGGGGACCTCCCAACCCTAACACCCTAAACCCTAAACCCTAAACCCTAAACCCTAAACCCCTAAACCCTAAACCCTAAACCCTAAACCCCTAAACCGACTGACGGCGCCTTCTTCGGAGCAGCAGCCTCTGCATCAGCGCCTTCGACATGTGCTCGAAGGGTTTGGGAATGGCCCCTAAACCCTAAACCCTAAACCCTAAACCCTAAACCCTAAACCCTAAACCCTAAACCCTAAAACCCTAAACCCTAAACCCTAAAACCCTAAACCCTGAAACCCTACACTTTCCTAAGCCCCAAACCGCAAAACGCAAAAAGCTCTAAACCCCCAAAGCTCAAACCTGGCAAAACCCTAAACCCCCAAACCGTCAAACTTCAAACCTACAAACCCAAAACCCCAAAACCCTCAAACCGAAAACCCCAAACCCTAAACCCTAAACCCTAATCCTAAACCCCAAACCCTCAACCCTAAAATCCTCAACCTTGAAATCGAAAACCCTACAGCCCCTTTATCTTCCCTCCCGGCTTTTGGCTGCCGGGGCTGCGGGCACTGCCGCGTCCTGCAGCGTAGGGTTGGGTCTTTAAGGTTTGGAGGGTTTAGGGTTTAGGGTTTAGGGTTTAGGGGTTTAGGGTTTAGGGTTTAGGGTTTAGGGTTTAGGGTTTAGGGTTTAGGGTTTAAGGTTTGGAGGGGTTGGAGGCTTTGGCTTTGGAGGCTTTGGGGTTTACGGTTACGGGTTTTAGGGTTTTGGTGGTTTAGGGGGGTTTAGGAGTTTAAGGGTTTCGGGGTTTACGGGTTTAAGGGTTTCGGGGTTTAGGGGCTTTAAGGGTTTAAGGGTTCAGGGGTTTAGGGGTTTAGGGTTTAGAGGTTTAGGGTTTAGGGGTTTACGGGTTCAGGGGTTTAGGATTTAGGGTTTGGGGGGGGTTTAGGGGCTTTGGGCTTGGGTTTGCGGGTTACGGGCGTGTGGGGAGTCGCACCTTCTCAATACGCAGACCCCCCATCCATCCCCTTCGGCGACGAAGACACAGTAGACAGGGTTTAAGAGTTGAGGGCATCTGTATCCCCGTTAAACCCTGAACCCTAAACCCTGAACCCTAACCCGAAACCGCACCTCAAGTTTTTCAGGGATTTTGCGGATTTGAGTTTCGGGTAGCACCCAACCACCTCTACACCCTAAAGCCTATAAGCCCTAAACCACCCCTAAACCCTAAATCAACCCTAAACTCCAAACCCTAAACCCGAAACCCTAAACCCCAAGCCCTAAACCCTAAACCCTAAACCCTGAAAGCTTTGGCTCCTTCGGAGCTGCTGCCGGGCGCAGAGTCGGGCTCGGAGCTGCGGGTGGGGCGGGCCTCCGTTTACAGTTTGGCGTTTTAGGGTTTCGGGTTTAGGGTTGAGGGTTTGGGGTTTGGGGGCTTTAGGGTTTGGGGTTTGGGGTTTGGGGGTTGGGGGTTGGGGCATTAGGAGCTTTAGGTTTTAAGGTTTTGGGCTTGTTTCTTAGGGTTTGGGGTTTCGGGTTGCTTGGGGGTTTGGAGTTTTGGGCTGAAGGGCTGGCGCCGGGCAATCGTCTCGGGGCTAGGTCAGGGTTTAGGGCTTAGGGCTTAGGGCAGTTAACCCCAACTGAGATGGCTGGGTTTTTGGGGCACCCTAGACCCTAACCCTACTCTCTTGTCTTTTTGGGGTAGGCGGGCGCTGGTCGAGCGCTCAGTGAGAAGTGAGACCCTGAGGGTACCCTCCAGGCGTTCGGCATTAAGCTGTCCTGTTGTGCCTGCTCCATGCTGTTTCCGTGGCGGCCCTGGCCTCCCTGACCCAACCCAAGCTGTCCACGCACGTGTGGAGGTCCCCAAAAGGGCGTGCTGACCCAAGTGATGCTTTGCAAAAAAATGAAAGAAGGCCTTAACTCCTGAGAGTTGTAAGTGGGCGGTCTTGGGGTGGTAGGTCCGCAGACTACTGCGCACTCCCAAAGCGCGCTTCCGTTTGGCACGCCCTAAACCCTAAACCCTAAACCCTAAACCCTGAACCCTGAACCCTGAACCCTAAACCCTGAACCCTAAACCCTAAACCTAAACCCACCCCGCAGGCCTCTGGTGAACAGCGGCTGCGGCCGGTTTAGCCGGCACCGCCTTGGCTTTGGCCTGACAAGGCCCCTCAACTCACCATAAACTTCTAAACCCTAAACGTATCCGGCTTGGGGTTAAGGGTCTAGGCTTTAGGGTCTAGGCTTTAGGGTTTAGGGTTTAGGGTTTAGGGTTTAGGGTTTAGGGTTTAGGGTTTAGGGTTTAGGGTTTAGGGTTTAGGGTTTAGGGTTTAGGGTTTCGGGTCAAGTGTTTAGGGTTTAGGGTCAAGGGTTCAGGGTTTTGAGTACCGGGCTTCCGGCGACAGGCATAAACCCTGAAGCCCTAAACCACCTTAAAACCCCTAAACCCCTAACGTCCCCTGACCCCCCAAGCCCCCCACCCCTCAGGCCCTAAAGCCTTAGGCCTCACAAGGGCTTAGAGCTTTTCAGGCCAGGGCTTGGGGCTTTAAGGCTTTAGGGCAACCCCCATTCCAGAAACCCTCGACCCAAAAACCCGAACACCCTTAACCCCCAAAACCCTGAGCACCAAACTCCGAATCCCCACTGGTAAAATGGCACATAGGAGTAGCCTGTGATAGCTACAGCAACATCTGAACCCAAAACCCTAAACCCCAAAACCCTAAACCCCAAACCCTAAACCCCAAACCCTAAACCCCAAACCCTAAACCCCAAACCCTAAACCCTAAACCCTGAACCCTTATCCCTGATCCAAACAACTCCCGGATCAAATCGCTGGGGAGCCTCGGGTTGGGGCGCGCTGGCCTTCTCGGGCGCTGGCTCGGCTTTGCCTCGTGGGCAGGGTTTAGGGCTTAGGGCTTAGGGCTTAGGGTTTAGGGCTTAGGGTTTAGGGTTTAGGGTTTAGGGTTTTTAGGGTTTTTAGGGTTTTTAGGGCTTTTATGGTTTTTAGGGTTTTTTGGGTTTTTTGGGTTTTTAGGGTTTTTAGGGTTTTTCGGGTTTTAAGGGTTTTTAGGGTTTTTCGGGTTCTTAGGGTTCTTAGGGTTTAGGGTTTTCAGGGTTTATAGGGTTTATAGGGTTTAGGGTTTTTAGGGTTTAGGGTTCTTAGGGTTTAGGGTTTAGGGTTTTTAGGCTTTAGGGTTTAGGGTTTAGGGTTTAGGGTTTAGGGTTTAGGGTTTAGGGTTTTTAGGGTTTAGGGTTTAGGGTTTAGGGCTGAGGGTTCCGAAACCAGTCTCAAAGCCTCAAAGAAGAGCACCATCTAGGCCCCTAGGCTTTTTGGCTTACTGTCTGTTCATATATATTCCAGGTCCCCATATTAGGCAGCTGTCCAACCTCTACCCTGAACCCTAAACCCTAAACCCTAAACCCTAAGCGCTGTCACTCTTGCAGCCGTCTGCTGCTGATCTGCGCCACGTCCATGGCGCCGCCCGCAGCACCCAGATGGGCACATCCTTAGCCTCATCCCTAAACCCTAAACCCTAAACCCTAAACACTAAACCCTAAACCCTAAACCCTAAACCCCTAACGGAAGAAGCCAATCACAGTCGCAGGGCACAGACTCACATTTCCAGCTTGCACCACTTCTTGACCTTGAGCGCAGGGTCCTTCAAAACCAGCGTAAGCTGGCCATGTCTGGCGTGCTGACAGCGTCACAGCACCCTTTTCCCATGAACTGCACGAATCTCAACGGCCATCAACTGCAGCCATCATGCGCAGAGCCACAACAGGCAATGGGCGCTTCCTTCCTGTTCCGGAGCCGTATAAAATGCTTAGGGTGCCCTAAACCTTTCACACGTTCAAATTTCTCAAGGGGATTAAGACTCGTACGCCTAGGGTTGTACCCGCAAGAGGTCCCCTTCATATTCGCTGACAGGATCTTGCCCTAAACCCTAAACCCTCAACCCTCAACCCTAAACCCTAAACCCTAAACCCTAAACCCTAAACCCTCAACCACCTTACAGAGGGGGCCAAGGCAAAGTCCCATGAACTTCGAGAATCCCTCGCATGGTGCCGGCCTTTCGCAGGCTTGTCCCGGAGCAGCGAAAGGCCTGTAAGCGAGTTGCGGTAGGGGGCGAGGTCTCCGGGGTCTAGGGTTTGAGGTTTAGGGTTTAGGGTTTAGAGGGTCGAGGGTCTGGGGTTTGAGGTTTAGTGCTTAAGGTGGGCATTGGGGAGTTTGGGGGGTTAGGGGGTTTGGTGAGGGCTTCGGGCGCAGGTCTTCGGGTCTGGGTTGCGGGTTTTGAGCAGCAGACCTTTGACGCAGCACACCCGCCAAAGGAAAAAGTAGGGTCAACACGCAAGCAAGGCATCAAGAACTCGAACCCAAAACACCAAACGCGAAACCTCAAAAAGCACCCTAAACCCGACAAAAAACCCAAACCCCAAACCCTAAACCCTAACCCAATACCCCCCCCCCCAAACCCACCAAACATCAACCCCCAAAAAACCCCAAACCAGAGGTTCCCCAAAACCACTGTGGACCCGTGGTGCGACAGCTTTCACCTCAACCTGCTGTTTAAACACTCCCGTTTTCATGTTAGTTGTGTAGAAGGTGTGAGGGCTTGAACGGAACACGGGCAGGGGAGGCCAGGGTTTCTGCGTTCTGCCCGAAGGTTAGTTGGAGGTTTCTGCGTTCTAGCCGAAGGTTTGGGGGATCTCATTCTGGGGCGACCTGGTGGGCTTCTCGCCAGCGACCTGCCGGGTCCACCACGCAGCCTGCAGCTGCCTGCGGGACTGGAGCTCCGTCGCCCGCTCGAGGGCTTCTGGCTCCGGAGCTGCCTCGCCTGCCAGCTTCGGCACGTTCGCCCTGCTCGACGGCCCCGGGATCGCTCAGTTTACGGTTTAGGGTTTAGGGTTGATGGTTTAGGGTTTAGGGTTTAGGGTTTAGGGTTTAGGGTTTAGGGTTTAGGGTTTAGGGTTTAGGGTTTACGTCTTTGGGTTGAAGGAAGGCAGCTGAGAGGCTGAGGTTGCTCAGCAGCGCCATGGCGAATGCGGTGCCGTGGGCATCATGACGCGAGAGCGCGAGGACCCATGTTTAGGGTTTAGGGTTTAGGGTTTAGGGTTTAGGGTTTAGGGTTTAGGGTTTAGGGTTTAGGGTTTAGGGATTGGGGTTTAGGGTTTAGGGTTTAGGGTTTGGGGTTTGGGGTTTGGGGTTCGGGGTTCGGGGTTTAGGGGCTAGGGTCAACCCCAAAACACTCAAACCATTGCTTTAGGGTTTAGGATCTTAGGGCTTAAGGTTCAGGGTTTGAAGGTCTAGGGTTTAAGCGTTTTGAGTTTAGGGTTTGGGTGTTTGGTGTTTGGGGTTTAGGGTTTAGGGTTTAGGGTTTAGGGTTTAGGGTTTAGGGTTTAGGGTTTGGGGCATACACCCTTCAGAGTCGGCGCATGGAGGAGGGAGGATCTCACTGCTTCCTCGGCAGCACTGTCGGGCAGCGGGATTGCGGGCGTGCGGAGTCTTCACCCCCAACTCAACATGAACTCGTAAGCTACGCGCAGGAGCCCTGAACCCCAAACCCTAAACCCTAAACCCCAAACCCTAAACCCTAAACCCTAAACCCCAAACCCTAAACCCAAAACTACACTGTTCCAATCAGGGTTGGAGTCTTTCAGGGTCATTGGAGCCTGGGGGTTCGAGGAGCCATGGCCATGCGAGGCAGGAACTACATCGCTGGGATTGGGGTTTAGGCTCAGGGCTCAAGGCTGAAAGGGTTTAGGGTTTAGAGTTTGGAGTTTAGGGTTTGGGGTTTAGGGTTGGGAGTTTGGGGTTCAGAGTTTGGGGTTTGGGGGAACCATTGTTCCGGTCATCCCCACTTGCTCAGGGTCCTAAGCCTTCAATCCCAAACCTCAACCCACGACCCAACACCCCGAAAAAGGGAAACCCGCAACCCAACCACAAAAGGAGAGAAACCAATCCTTCTCAGAAGGTTCAACCCTAAACCCTAAAACCTAAACCCCAAACCCTTAAACCCTAAGCCCCTAAACCCTTCAAGGACCCCAAAAGACCATAAAGCCCAACTGCTTCCTTGTTGGGGCCATATTAAAAATCATCATGTTCATTCCTTATTGGGAATATAATTGGACAACAAGATACAATTATAACCAACAAGGACCCTGCCAAGAAGCCTTGTCTCCCCCCCAGCATTAGGTCGTCGCAAAGACGGCATTAACCCAGACGGCGCGGCGAGGGAAGGAAGCCCCTAAACCCTCAGGCTTAAGGGGTTTAGGGTTTGGGGTTTAGGGTTTAGGGTTTAGGGTTTAGGGTTTAGGGTTTAGGGTTTAGGGTTTGGGTTTGGGGTTTAGGGTTTAGGGCTAGGGTTTAGGGCTGAACCTTTTGAGAGGGCTTGTGGTCTATGTTGGACTTTGGGGGTTTCAGCACGTCCGAAGCCCTCGCTGTCATCCTACTGGCCGAGCTCTCAAAAGCATTTATGTGTCAACTTGTCGGTTTAGATCTAGGGCTTGAGGGTCTTTTAGGGTTTAGGGTTTAAGGTTTAGGGTTTCGGGTTTGAGGGGTTTTTCGGGTTTTTCGGATTTTTAGGGTTTGAGGGTTTATGGTGGGTTCAGGGTTCAAGCCCTCCTGGTCAGTTTATGGTAGAGGTGCGGCCTTCCCGGGTGCGCTGAGGCTTCAGGGCACTGCGCTCTCATCAGGGTTTAGGGTTTAGGGTTTACGGTTTGGGGTTTAGGGTTTAGGGTTTAGGGTTTAGGGTTTAGGGTTTGTGGTTTGGGGTTTAGGGTTTAGGGTTTAGGGTTTAGGGTTTAGGGTTTAGGGGTTAGGGTTTAGGGTTTAGGGTTTAGGGTTTAGGGTTTAGGGTTTAGGGTTTAGGTTTAGGGGTTAGGGTTTAGGGTTTAGGGTTTTGGGTTTAGGGTTTAGGGTTTAGGGTTTAGGGTTTAGGGTTTAGGGTTTAGGGTTTAGGGTTTAGGGTTTAGGGTTTAGGGTTTAGGGCAAGTTTAGGGTTTCAAAAGTTCATTTGCTTCAAGTGCTTGATGAGTTGGGGGGTTGAGGTGAATCTAAACCCTAAACCCTAAGCCCTTAACCCTAAACCCTAAACCCTTAAACCCGAAACCCTAAACCCTTAAACCCTAAAACCCTTAAACCCCTAAACCCCTAAACCCTTAACCCCCAAACTCTACACGCTACCTGCCCTCGCCTGCAACTCACGGCCTACATCGGCCAAGCTGCACATCGACACCCGGCCCATGGAATGATGGGCGCTTTTCTACAGAGCTTGGGATCTAGAGTCTAGGGCCTGTAGGGCCTTTAGGGGGTTTGGGGCTAAGGGTTTAGGGTTTAGGGCCTTTAGGGTTTAGGGTTTAGGGTTTAGGGCCTTCTTTAGGGTGTAGGGGTTTGGGGCTTGGGGCTTAGGATTCTTCAAAATATGGGAATCCCCATGAACCCAGGGGATATAAGGAGGGAACCCTGGAATCTTATTCCCCTATAACCCCTGCATATTCCTTACATCGTCCCTATATACCGAAAGTAGCCCCTTCATTACCCCTAACCCCAAACCCCTGCACCCCCCAAACCCCAAACCCCAAACCCCTAAACCTGCCCCCAACCCCAAAACCCAACACCGGCTTCCAGGTTGAATAGGTGTTCATGAGGCTGGGGTCTTTAAATCTGGAGCAGGAGCTGTAGGGGCTCAGGGTTTTCGGGCTTAAGGCTTAGGGCTTAGGACTTCGGGCTAGGGCTTCGGGCTTTAAGGCATAGGGCTCGGTCCTTCCGATACCATGCTGGGGCTTAGGCCTGAGGCATTTAGACACCGCTTTGGGTTGGGGGCTCAAGGGCTTCTTTAGGCGTTTAGACGTCACCTTGGGCTTCGAAATGTTAGCAGCAAACCCTAAACCCTAAACCCAAACCCTCAACCCTTCATTGTCATTCCATGCGCCACTGGCAGAGATGGCACAAGATACATTTGCCTGCATACGTTGAGGCGTGCCCCCCCCCCCCCCCCCCCCCCCCGCCATCAAAACACCATAATCCTGGTTACAGGCTACTGTGCCCCTAAAGATAAGGAACCCCCAAAAATTCTTTAAACGGGGTTACAATTTGAAGGGATTTCGGGCGCAGCCGCACTTGAAAGAGACGGCTCACTGCAGGATTTCTGCAACCGACGTGCACGGTGTGGGGTGACGGCCCTCAAAAAGGACCCGCCCGGCTTGGAGGACGCACACAAGGCAAAGTGCGCGTGGAAGGTCTTAGAACCCCAGGGTTTAGGCTTTGAGGTGTGGGTTTGAGGTTTAGGGTTTAGGGTTTAGGGTTTGAGGGTGTGTAGCTATGAAGGGGAATCTTGCAAGGCCTCCACACCACTCCACCTACCGGATTTGGTCTTAGGCTTGTGGGCCTCAAAGACATAGACCAGCCACTAAGTCGCCCGATGTCCCGAAGCCTTAAACGAGCGTGGCACAGTCTGACCCCTAGAATGCTTAGGGGGTTAGGGGACTTAGGGGCGTTCAGGGCTTAGGGGGTTCCTGTTGGGGGCTGAGGGGTGTTAGGGTTTATTGTTCAAGGCTGCGTCCAAGGCGGCCATGCCCAGTGCTCCTCCCACCGATTCCTAGGAATCTCAGACCGATTCACCTCGCGGCAGGCTTCGGGTCTTGCAGGGGTTCAGAATCCTGGAGCCCGAAGCCACCGCCCTGCTAGCCCTAAACCCTAAACCCTAAACCCTAAACCCTAAACCCTAAACCCTAAACCAACACCCCTGGATCGGGTCGGGCTTACGTCTTTTGAAGGTTAGCGTTTACACAAGCTCATGGTTGCGGGGCCTACTCCCTTGAAGCCGAAGTAAACCCCATGACCCTAAACCCTTCAACACCGTTGAGGCTTTCGTTTGCTCATGCCTTTCGCGACGCTGTGCAGGCTCGCTCAAGACAACTTCCGCAAGACGTGGGCTGCTTTGAAGGTTCGGGGCTTAGGATTCCAAAACCCTAAGCCCAAATTCCAAATTCGCACCCGGCCTGTTTCGGCTGTACCACCCTTTTCTAGGGTGCCTGGCACCTTTCCCGGATGGACAATGGATGGTCAAATTCCTAGGGCTGTGCCTTCGATTTACAAGGAGGAACCCCCACGATCCTCCTCTTCATGAGAACACCCTGAAGCCGCCGTTTTGTTTGGGGGAGTCTCCCTGAGCCAAAAACCCTCCAACACCCCCAAAAACGGCTCCCTAGCAACGGCCTAGATCTGTCCTGGGACCACCCCTCCAGACCAAAAAAACCTTCGAAGACTTGAAGACCCTGTGCTAGGCTTGCCCAAGACTGCCCTAGATGCCCTAAACCCCCCCCCCATAAGAACCTCCCCCCCCCCCCCACACACCCCACGGTCTGAAGCGTCTGTCATGGTGAGAATCGAGGGCGGTAGCCCAAAAACCTAAAAGGCAACGACCGGTGAAAATGAAAATTGTCCCGGGGCGCCATGTCCACCCCAAAACCCTGCACCCCAAACCCTAAACCCTCGGCCCCAAACCCTAAACCCCAAACCCCAAACCCTAAACCCTAAACCCTAAACCTATCCCCTACCCCTGCACCTGACAGCCTACGCGCTGGCCGGCTGCGGCGCCGTCGCACCTGGAGCCACGGGAGGCAACTGCCAAAAAAACAAGAACTCGACAAGCTTCTGCCATTTTTAGGGGGGTTTGGGGTTTAGGGAGTTAAGGGTTTCTGTTAGGGTTTCGGGTTTAGGGTTTAGGGTTTAGGGTTTAAGGTTCTTAGGGCTACTATTTGCTTGACAACCCCCTGAGATATAGAAACATCTTCCTTATAAGGGCGGCATACGGATTACGACTTTGTTTTTCTTCTTGGGGGGGGGTTCTTGAACAAATAGTTTCTGCCCCAGACCTTACAACGCTGAGCCTTGCACCCTCAGTTTGGGGTTGCGGGCTTCGTGATTGAAATCGAAGAGCCTTCAGCTAAACCCTAACCCCTAAACCCTACACCCTAAACCCTAAACCCTAAACCCTTATCGGAGTGAGGCGGTTGAAATCGTTTGGTGACATTTCGAACTCTAGAGCACAAGATGCCAAGACCCAGACCCCCGAACTCTGCAAGCATAATCAACGTTCCGAGAACTAAACCCTCAACCCTCAACCCTCAACCCTCAACCCTCAACCCTCAACCCTAAACCCTAAACCCTAAACCCTAAACCCTAAACCCTGAACCCTAAACCCTAAACCGTGAAGACACGTGCCTTCGTCACCTGCCGGGACCTGGGCAGCTGAGGCGGCTCGGTGTCTTTTGGGGCTTCGAGCCTATAACCTCCTAAACCCTAAACCCTAAACCCTAAACCCTAAACCCTAAACCCTAAACCCTAAACCATGATAAGAAGGATTTTCTTACAAAGGATAATCATGATAATAACGATACTAAATGCAATGGCCACCATCATGAAATAACCATGGCGACGCAAACAACCCTCATGTCATGGGCAAACACAAAAAACACAGAAAACTAACCGAAGGGCCAAGTCACCCAACAAAGCTAGACTCAAAACCCTCAAACCCCACTATTAGCCCGGCTTAGGGTTTAGGCGGTTTAGGGTTTAGGATTTAGGGTCCCCCACCCGAAAAAAAAACACAAAACAATCATGAAGAAACACGAAAGACTCCCAACCCTGCCAGCAACCGCGAAGTCACCTCGGAAGCGGCCGCTGCTCGATGCCCACAATCTCGCCTCCTGGGCCTCAGCCCGAAGGGTTTAGGGTTTAGGGTTTCGGGTTTCGGGTTTAGGGTTGAAGGCTTCGGGTTTTTGAGGGGTTTAGGGGGCTAGGGTTTATGTTCGACGTAGAGTTCGAGGAACCCAGGGTTTAGAGCTTTTAGGGTAAAGGGTTTAGGGTCGGTGCACAATTTTTTCATGGAGGACCGCACCACCCGCACGACCACCCCCCCGCCCCCCACCCCCCCCCCACCCCCCACCCCCCACCCCCACCACCCCCACCACCCCCCACCCCCACCCCCCACCCCCCACCCCCCACCCCCCCAACCCCCCCAACCCCACACGCCCCCACACCAGCCCGCCCGTCCAGACTGCCCTACAGCCCAACCAAACATGCCCGAAAGGTCGAACCCAAAGCCCTAAGGCTACCCTAAGCATTAGACCCACACAGGCTCAAAACCTGGAGTGAAGGTTCTTGAGAGATTAGGGTTCTGGGTATGGGGTGTAGGGTTTAGGGTTAGGGTTTGGGATTAGGGACTAAGGTTGAGGCTTCACGTGGGGGTTGCCTATGTTGCAACCTTACGCCAACCACTCCAAGAGTTCGAAGCCTCTACCCCCCCATTCCCACAACACGTCCTCAAACCCCCGAACCCTGGTTTAGGGGTTTAGGGTTTAGGGTTTAGGGAGTAGAGTTTAGCGTTTAGGCTTTAGGGGTAACAACAAGTTCCGGCTTTGAGGGTTGAGAGGTTTCGGGCCTCTTGGGTCGGCGGCCTGAGCCGGAGGCTCCTAAATCCGGGCACGCCCGTGGTCCGACGCCGTTAGGCGCCAGCCCTAGCTTTAGCTATGAGGGGGTGGGGTTAAGCCGCTGACCCGGTTGGCTCCCCAACATCCGGCTCCAAATGCGGCTCCCGAAGGGCATCAATTTTCAGGTACAATTTTTATCGCGAAAAACGCGCTATTTCCCACCGAATTTGGGCTCCTGGACGCATTTTTTGGGTGCCCCATGGGGGGTCCCAAAAACGACCCCGGAGAGCATCATCGACTCTCTTTTTCAACTTTGGCCAAATACGCGTTGCTGATGTTTTTTGGGTGGCATTGGCCACTGAAAGGACCCCCACAAGAGCGCGCATCATGAGCATCAGCGGGTTGGGTTTTGGGTTTCGGATGCGGCTGAGAGCTTGGAAAACACAGAAATCGCTGTAAATACCGTGGTTTTCGTGCTGTTACGGACATTTCCGTTTTGAGGCCGGCATATGCCCCTATAAGCCATGCATGCCTGGAGGCCGGAGCCGCTGATGCTCATGATGCGCGGCCGGGCGGGGGGCCAGGGTGCGCATCATCGAGGCTTCGTTTCTCTTTGCAAGCGAGCATCAGCAGCATCAGCGGCTCCGGAAAGGGTTTTGGGCGGCAGGATTTCGAAGGATGCTGGCATAACTCCATAACATGGCACTCGACATGCGCACGCACACGCGCGCGCGCGCGCGTTCTTTGCTTGCTTGTTTGTTTGTTTGTTTTTGGTTGTTTGGTTGTTTGGTTGTTTGGTTGTTTGGTTGTTTGGTTGTTTGGTTGTTTGGTTGTTTGGTTGTTTGGTTGTTTGGTTGTTTGGTTGTTTGGTTGTTTGGTTGTTTGGTTGTTTGGTTGTTTGGTTGTTTGGTTGTTTGGTTGTGGTTGTTTGGTTGTGGTTTGGTTGTTTGGTTGTTTGGTTGTTTGGTTGTTTGGTTGTTTGGTTGTTTGGTTGTTTGGTTGTTTGGTTGTTTGGTTGTTTGGTTGTTTGGTTGTTTGGTTGTTTGTTGTTTGGTTGTTTGGTTGTTTGGTTGTTTGGTTGTTTGGTTGTTTGGTTGTTTGGTTGGTTGTTTGGTTGTTTGGTTGTTTGGTTGTTTGGTTGTTTGGTTGTTTGGTTGTTTGGTTGTTTGGTTGTTTGGTTGTTTGGTTGTTTGGTTGTTTGGTTGTTTGGTTGTTTGGTTGTTTGGTTGTTTGGTTGTTTGGTTGGTTTGGTTGTTTGGTTGTTTGGTTGTTTGGTTGTTTGGTTGTTTGGGTTGCTTGTTGTTTTTTGTTGGTTGTTGTTTGTGTTGTTTGGTTGTTTGGTTGTTGTTGTTGTTGGTTGTTGGTTGTTTGTTTTGTGCTTTGTTGTTGTTGTTGTTTGTTGTTGTTGTTGTTGTTGTTTGTTGTTGTTGTTGTTGTTTGTTGTTGTTGTTGTTGTTGTTGTTGTTGTTGTTGTTGTTGTTGTTGTTGTTGTTGTTGTTGTTGTTGTTGTTGTTGTTGTTGTTGTTGTTGTTGTTGTTGTTGTTGTTGTTGTTGTTGTTGTTGTTGTTGTTGTTGTTGTTGTTGTTGTTGTTGTTGTTGTTGTTGTTGTTGTTGTTGTTGTTGTTGTTGTTGTTGTTGAGAGTTTAGGGTGTAAAGGTTCCGGGTTTCTTCTACAGTGTGGCCGTGGATGCCTCCACGGTGCTTGTGAACACGAACACCTCCACGGTGTTTGCGAACGTGAAGACTGCAAATGCTGAACATGAACACCTCCACGGTGTTTGCGAACGTGAAAACTGTACATGCACACTTCCACAGTGTGGCCATGCACCTCCACGGTGTTTCTGAACATGAACACCTCCACGGTGTTTGCTGTTGTTGCTGCTGTGCTTGCTGCCGTTGTCCTGCTGCTGGTGGGCGTGCCGGCTGTGGGCGACAGCCCGTTAGATTTAGGGTTCGGACTTTTGGTTTTTTGGAAAGGTTTTACAGGTTTTTAGGGCTTTGGGGCCCACTGGGCCCCTTCAAACCCGAAACGCTTCCAACAGGCCCCCAACCCGAAGCCCTCATCTCACCCCTAAACCCTAAACCCTAAACCCTAAACCCTAAACCCTAAACCCTGAACCCCAGACCCTAAACCCTAAACCCTAAACCCTAAAACCCTAAACCCAAACCCTCAACCCCTTTGCCGCCTCGGAGTGTTGTCATCATGGCCCTAGGCCCGGAAATCTGCACATCTGGGCCGGTGAAAGGCCACCCTCCACCTCTGTCCAGGGTGACTCCCACGGGACGAGGCCACCGAGAGCGGCTCTGCAAGTGGATTCTCTCGCCAGTTCCCAGCAGGGAATTCGGGAACTGCTTGAGGGACCCAAGGCCCTAAACCCTAAACCCTAAACCCTAAACCCTAAGAACCCAACTCCCCAACTCCCTGCCAAGAGCGAGTAAATTCTGAGGGGGGTGAAACGCCTCACTCCTCGTCGTCTTGCCGCAGCTGCTGTCTCCCAAGAGCCAGGATGGGACCCAGGTGCCTTGAGGCAGCTTTCTGGACTGTGGTTGAGGGTTTAGGGTTTAGGGCTAGGGTTTAGGGTTGAGGGTTGAGGGTTGAGGGTTGAGGGTTGAGGGTTGAGGGTTGAGGGTTGAGGGTTGAGGGTTGAGGGTGTAGGGTTGAGGGTTTAGGGTTTAGGGTTTAGGGTTTAGGGTTTAGGGTTTAGGGTTTAGGGTTTAGGGTTTAGGGTTTAGGGTTTAGGGTTTAGGGTTTAGGGTTTGCCAGCTGCTATTGGGATGCCTTTTGGAGGGTCCTTCGATATGGGATTCCAGGGTTTTTGGAGGCTCAGGACCGATAGTCCCTGAAGGGCTATTTTGAAAGAGCGTTCTCAAACGCACCCTAAACCCTAACCCCTAAACCCTCAACCCTAAACCCTAAACCCTAAACCCTAAACCCTAAACCGCAATTTCCTAAAACACCGGAATCCCAAACCCTAGGACCCTCATGCCTAAAACCCTACAACTATAAATCTCTAAGACCCTGAAACCCTAAAGCCAGCGCCTTAAGCCGAAACGGAACACCCCTCAAAAAAAGGGCTAAGCAAGCTTAGCACAATATGGGTTTAGGGTTGGCGGTTTTTGGATACTCGGCCCCAAAAAATCCATGGCAGCAACAGAATATGTGTGAATGAGGTGCTGGTACAAAGCCGCCGGACCACCATTCCACCTGGTCAGAGGGACTTGGTCAACCGTTCGGGCCTCCAGGATGTAGGGATTGGGGTTTAGGGTATAGGGTATAGGGTTTAGGGTTGAGGGTTGAGGGTTGAGGGTTGAGGGTTGCGGGTTGCGGGTTGAGGGTTGAGGGTTGAGGGTTGACGGTTGACGGTTGACGGTTGAGGGTTGGGGGTTGAGGGTTGAGGGTTGAGGGTTGAGGGTTGAGGGTTGAGGGTTGAGGGTTGAGGGTTGAAGGTTGAGGGTTCAAACGCCAAGAGCAGCGTCGTGATGTGCGGCAGTTCCTCGACCCGACCACGGAAGCACATAAATGGATGCCCCAAACCGGAAACCCTAAAACCCTAAACCCTAAACCCTAAACCCTAAACCCCCCGCCCCCTTTCGTTAAAGAGGCACCCCCCACCGATAGGGGTGCCCCACAAAGCTTCGCCGCGCCTGGAATAGAAAGGCCCCGCCACGCTGGCCCCATGGCCGCTGTAGAGCTTGTAGAGGTCCGGTGCGTCGAAGTATCCTCTGAGGGATTTGTGGGTTTTTAGGGCTTTTGGGGCTTTTTTTCGGGCTTTTTAGGTTCTTAGGGTAAGAATGTTTTTACCTGTAGAGCTTTTAAAGGTCCGGTGCGTCGAAGTATCCTGAAGCAGGGGCCTTTCGGGCTTTTAGGGCTTTTAAGGGCTTTTTAGGGCTTTTTAGGGTTCTTAAGGTTTAGGGCTCAGGGCCTAGGGTTCGTATTTGGGTTACCTGGCTGCCTGCCCCTTACGCCATAGTGACATCAACCCCTCCTCCACTTCAGTCCCCATGACCCGAAACCCTAAAATGGCGTTTACGAAAAAGGGGACCCCTCAAATAGATCCCAAATCCTCGAGGATCCCAATAACATACCCCTAATTGCGGAAACCCCATACAAACCCTGAACGAACCCCAAACCCTAAACCCTAAACCCTAAACCCTAAACCCCCATCCGAAGTAAGGGTTGAGCCCTAGAGTCGAGCGTGCGCCAGCGGCGTGTCTCCCTCCGAGTCGCCTTGCTTTGGGGAGCCCGGGCCAGGGGGGGGGGGGGGGGGATATAGGAGGGGGGT